TGGTCGGGTCTTTTCTGCCCGTGCGTGCCCGCCAGGGGGCGCGCACGAGCAGAAAAAAAATGCCGTCTCGAGACGGAAACCCGCCAATGCTGCAGTGCCGTCCGTCCGTTTTTTTACAACGGGTGGACGGCAAGTGGTTAACCAAGCGAATTTCCATAACATTAGGGAAGTGTCAGCTGCTGGTTCTAATAGAGGAGAGGGTTTATCATTGTGTCCTCAGCATGTGGCATCATGCAAGAGCACCTTCTATAGATTGCTGCTTGTTATACATGAAAGTCTACATAGTTTTTTTTTAACCTCTTACACTGGTAAATACATTGTGCCAAACTTCATCAGGCATCTGTTTTGAATCTTTGTTTTTGTTTAGATATTCATTTTGGTTGAATGATGACATAGTTTAATATACTTTTTACATCCCTGAATAACTTTTTTTCGATGAATGGTGAATCAGCCACTAGAGGGCACATCTAACCAACTTTATGAAAAGCAAGACCCAGCATAACACCGATTACAATACACTGAATCATAACTGCAGCGCTGGCATTGCCCGTGGTCCAGGACCCTGGCCCACAAAGTAAAGCACTGATACCTCTGCATTAGGTAGTTTTCACAACAGGAATCTGGATCATTACCTTGATACTTAATGACCTCCTAAAAAACATGTAGATCAGAGTGAGTTTGCATTCTTGTTGCAACTTACCGACTCAAAGTATTCTTGAACAGCACAACAGGCAAGAAACTAGTATTTTCACAAGAAGAGGTCAGCAATAGCAGCCTTCATACTTTCTCAGTGCATGTTTTCTTTAAAGCAGAACTATGGGGTCAGGTCTTTTCCCCAGAGTTCTCCTAAGGGTAACGGGAGGACACAAAACTAGCCTCCTCCCGTCACCCAAAGCTCAGTATACAGCTCGTGGTATATTGAGACGCTGCAGCCGGAACAGATCCCGACAATTGTTTCTGGATCCGCCCAGCTGCGTGAGTGACAGCTGGCTCTGCCTATCTAGAGGCAGAGCCAGCTGTACCCGCCCCCTCCCCCGTCCGTTCTGCCAGTCAGCGCTGGAGGATCGGACAGGGGAGGGGGAATCCAGTCCCTCTGCTGTCACAGCTCTCTGGCGGCACAGGATCGAGACGTGAGCGAGCTCCGGTATGTGTTCGCTCACCTCCCGATCTACTGAGCCGACCTGTGACAGTCTCATTGTCACAGGTCGGCTCAGATTATGAGGCTGAGTGAAAATCACTCACCTCATAATTCTCCTTTAAATGTCAGATCTCACTTTTGTTTGCCAATTAACGTGCATGTTACCACAATGCTTTATCTGATGCTATTCATTTTGAATGGCACCCCAATGCACTAAGGCAATGCAATTCTTAACCATGTGTTTTAGCACACCACGACGAACTACCATCTGCTGTGGTGCACTGCATCTGAAAAAAGCTGCATATCTATTGCATTTGTCCATTTTCATGTGTTGGCAGCCCATTCATTTAAAGAGCTGCCTTAACACAACGCACATTAACGCAATGCGCCAAAATGGCAAAGTGTAAATGGGCCCAAACAGGTTTGTATGGGGTTGCAACTCAAATAGCCATGTCCTCTCCCATATCCAGGGAATAGGTATGCGTCTCATCTTTTATATTATTTATACCTTCCTCACAGGTCCCTCTCTCCAAGTCTAGTGGTGGGTAATGGCGGGCAATGAAGATTTGTTTAAAGGGATCTTTATGATTTAATGAGACTCATCATAGCTATATGTTTAAAATCAAATAGATGATTATACAGATGTGATGTAAATAGAGTGATTATTCTGTTGTCTTGTAGTAGACTGGCTGTGATCCTAATTAAGACTACCTTTGTAATCACTCACACCTTATGACTTGTCTTACTCTGTAATGTACCATGCCTTTTTTACTCAAACTATTATATGAGATGAAAAAAAACGAAAGCACATGTAAGATTCCAAACAAGGAACCCTGAATTTTTCAGATTTCTGGAACTGAAATAATTAGGCTAAAAACAGCTGTACAATTATTATGATTATTCATTTTTCCCAATGAATAAGATGTTATATTGAGCTACAGGAAATATGCTGTTATTCTGCATAGAATTCACCACATGCATGTCCATGACCGGGCCAATTTAATGGCATGGCTGGCATTTCACATTTCAATGAAAGGTAAAGTATAATGTTGGCTAGGCACCAACATCATTTTTTAAGATGAGGTGAAAGATCTGTTACTCGCAAATTCCCTCTGGCAATCACAACTTCTGAGAACATTCCTTATCCACTGCCATTAGTAGGTATGACAGACAATCGGCTAACTATCCAGGAGCACACAGAGAAAAGACTATAAACATACCTTTTTTGTGCGTATCAGTTTGTGGTCTCTGAACTCAGTCAGCTGAGCCCTTAACGTTAAGTCACTGTTGACAAGAAATGCTTCTCTACATTGCTGATAGAAGTCTTGAAATGAGAGACCTAGAGAAGGGATGAAATAGAATTTAAATAAAATGTCACCATTTCCCACAACGCCTTTTAAAAAAACACTTTGCTTGATTCTGTCTATTTTCAGATGTTTCACATAAGGTGTGCCTCAGGCCCTCTGTCACTATGGAATGTTCAATTTTGTTAAGTCCCATAACGCCGTGATTTGGAGACTGAACGCTGTACAGGGTATTAGTCAAAGAGTTAAATCATGTATTACCAGAAATTGAAGGAGTTTGGTAATGTCCTCAGTCGGGAGAGATGAGAAAAATAAACCCCAATTGAACTTTCACTTTAAATAATCTAAATACATTCCAGGTACATCAAAATAAAATATGTAAAAAGTCTTACTTTTTTGTTTTCTTTATAAAGTAGTGAAAAAAAAGCATGTTGCCTTCTAGTATGCTGCAGAATGAGACTTTTGCTCCCTTTTGGTAAGCAGTGGTCTCTCTGTGGAGGTCCAACACTTCACCTGCTGAGCCACAGCCTTCCAATCAGCAGGGAGCATGAGTTTACCTGATTGCAGAGCTATAGGTCTGACTCAGAAAATGAGTCACATCTCTGCTTCCACACAGAGAGTAAGGGTCTCACTCTGCACCTGTTTGCAGGGAAAAGGCTTTTGCTGCTTTAGCTGGTTTAGAAAGAAAACCGGTTAAGACATGAAACACCTTTAGTTCTGGTGCACATGGCATGTACTGAAGTTTCATTTGGGCTTTAACCCAGAAAAAACAAACAGACTTTCAATAGGAGATTGGGAAGGGCAAATATAAAACATGAATCAGACAGGAAAAGCAAAGCACAAAAAATATGAGAAACATGGTGGTGTAAAATGATGACCAAAAGAAGATGATAAATATAAAAACAAAAAAAGAAAAGAAACAAACAAAAAAAAAAAAAAAGCTCTATCCATACTAATTGAACTTTTTCATGTTCATGGGCTAGCACACAACAGGAACCAAGCCAAAACAGTACGGAAATTAAATACTAATTCCAATATATACAGCCACACATACCTTGATATGAAGGGTTGTCTTTGTTGGCCAACTGGTACTCTGCCAGCAACCGAAAAATCCCTCTGAAAACCATAACAGTGAGCAATTAGCTTCAAGGTTTTGGGAAATTTTACAAATGTCATCTTTGATGTTCATGGTTTTTTTTTTTTTTGTGAAAGACCAAAACTTGCTGCAGAAGAAACTGCTCTATAATTTTTATGGGTGTCCGTGAATCATTTTAAACCTTCTACAGATCTCTCTATATATGTCCAGCTTACAGCATTTTCTATGTTAACTTGTAATAAATAACAATAGTTTGCTTTAAACATAAAGCTTACTCAAAGGTCCCTTTGAAGGTTCCTATTTGATACACTTGAATTGGACCACACAGGGAAATTACATGGTAGCACATTAGAGAGAATGCGTCCTATGGTAAAACAATAGATTTTCATTTGTTTATGTACTTTGCCTGTGGTACAGTATGTTGCAAAATGCATGGCAAAATGCCCAGTGTGAGTTAGTGTTACAAGTCACACTGGATGGTAAAATAAAAAAACTGGGACTGCCTCGAAGGAGGCTACAAACAGCCACAGGACGCTCATGCACAAGCAAATAGTCCGGCAACTCTTGAACTGGAGAGTCCGGGTCTGGAAGCTTAGACAGTTTAAAGTCTCTTCTGGGGAAGGGAAACTCTGGCTTGAGCTGTGTATAGGATTACACCCAGATATTCCAAACAATGAGTCGGTTCTAGTCAGGGCTACACTGTCCCGCAGAACTTGTGCGGACTGTTGCCTCTCAGGGATGCCTGAGAGTGCAGTAAGGCTTGCACAGGGTCCATCACCTTGGTGAATACTGAAGGTGCAGAAGATAGGCTGAATGAAAGGGCCACAAACTGGATGTGCAGAGGGCTCACAACAAAGCAAAGGAATTGTTGCTGCACTGGAAAAATTGGGACATGCACGTACATGTCCTTGATGTCCTAGTGTCATCCTATGACAGACCTGTTGGATTACATTTGAAATTTGTGGGCCCAAATGAAAACATTTAGGGCCTTGAGATCCCAGATGGAGCGAATGCCCAAGAAGAGGATGATGCATCTGTGCAGTGACACAGTTAGGTTGGAAGTAATAAACAGGAAAAAGGCTGGGAATAAAACTCTAGCTTTTATCCCATGTAAACTACCTCCCTCACCTCAGGATGAAAATTGATCTGAGGGTTTGGGATACTTGAAAGTCCAAAATCTGTGGGCAGACTGGGTGCTGTAAAGTAACGAAAGGGACTCTACTTTAGCCTCAGTGGCCCTAGTAATGAGGTACCTCCTGGTGCTTGGCATGCATTGTCTAGTCACAAGGTGAGCTTTTAAAGACAGGGTCAAATGCTGAACCAATGATACAGCTCTAGACTCTACAGCTAACTTTTACCAGTGCACGCAGGTCTGGAAAGTGCAGAAATGCAGAGCCCAGTTCCTGTATATCCAGTACAGTGGAGTCCAGGTACAGCACTCCAAAGACAGGCACACATAGGAAAGGCTGATCCGGATAGCTGCATATAGAGACTTGCTCAGCAGTAATGTAGTAGGAATCTTAATTGAAGAAAACAAGGTACCAAAAGTTAAAAGTACAAAGAAAGATGAAAGTTTTTCAACTGTGTGGCATGTTATAACTGAGCGAGTGAGAAAAACAATATCCCTATGACACAGAATAAGGTTTCATTCCCGTGCTTCATGTCAGTCATGATGATGCAATGGTGTGGGGGACTCAGACTCCCACTGTCTCCCAGTGATATCAAAACAGGGTGGGCAGACATAAATTATTCTTGATGGCTTGCTTTAGGAGATCAGCTTATCTCCACATAAACAGCTTGTGCAGAGATAAAGATATTGAGATGGAATTGTTAACAGATTATATCTGGAGATTTAAACAGCTGTGTGGCCAGGAATATTATAAAAGCTTGTGCAGGTCTGTAGTGATATGGCTAAAACCTAAAATTCTACTGATCAGATTTTTGCTTACCTGGCATTCGGAGTGAGACTGCGCAGCACATGAGTAAGGGAGCTGAGGGCCAGAGCTCCAGAACGTTGAACCAGCAATGAGTTCTCATAGGATGTTTCTTCCACATAGGAGCTATATGTTGTAGTCTCATACCACAGCCAATTATACAAGCTTTGCTTTGTCTGATCCCACACTGAAAAACAAAATGTTGAGTTTTTAGAACTGCTGAACAGAATACTGCAAACTACTACAATCTGTGTAGTACTGCTCAGCATCTCCTACTGACCAGCTGGAGAACAGAATAAGCACACAATGAGATGGAGAGAAATTATAGAAATTATTTTTTGACAAATTATATTAATACACATTTTCAAGTGCAGGCTTATTCTTCAAAATTGGCAGACATTGCAGTATTTTAACCTACCTCAGCAACCCCCCTAAGAGGGTACCTGCTGGGGTTCATTGCCTATAGAGGGGATATGTGATGGCCTTTCCAAAGACCAACCCAGGAGAAAAAGCAGCTCATTAATATATTAAAAAAGACAAAAGAGGACAAGAAAGCAAAAGATAAGGGAAGAGGGAGAGGGAGAAGGGAGAAGATCAGGAGAGGGAGAGAAAGAAAGAAAGAGAGAGATATGAAAAAAAAATGACAAACAAACAAAAAACCGCCCGCAAAAAAACAACGCACACTAAAAACTACGCACACTAAGACATTTTTTATTTTTTTTTCCCCTTTTTGATTCTCTTTCTCAATATACCCCAACCCTACCCCCCCTTCTCACTAATACTACTAATACTTCCCCTTGATGTGTCTTTCTATGTGTTCTTCAGTGCACTACTCAATTTTAATCCCCACCCCCATTTCAAACATCAGTTGTTATTATTAATAGTATTATTATTGTCAATTATCACCCTCATTGTTAAATTCACGCAAGTATTCCTCCCAAACCTATACTTCTCACATCCATTGGGCCAGTTCCCACATATTTAAATTTTCTCATTGCAGTATTTTAGATTACAATGAATGTCAAGAATATACCTCAAATGTGAGAGAAGTGAGCTGAAGATCCTCCTAACACAAACAGACTTTTGATGATATATGAAGACTAAGGCCCCATTCACATGTAGCGACTTACCTTTGCAGCGGCCGGGATAGCGCGACTTTCGGGGCGACGTTCCAGCGACGGTAGCGCGACCTTCTCCGTCGGGCTCCATAGAAAAAAAGCAAATTCGCGCAAAATCCACAGAAAAAAGGGTCCTGTAGAAGCGACGAGCTTGATTACAGTAAGGCACACATTACAGTATTGTTTTATGTTAAAAAATCTGATGGTTTAATGTCACTTTAATGCTTGTACCAACTCTACCCTATGCCAAATATCTCATTCTTGGTGGAGTGGAGGGGGTGTAACTATACAGGGAAGCTGTAAGTGAATAGAAGAATGGAGCTTTTATGTATTAATGTTAATTATAGCTTATATTCGCCACATTCAGTTTCCTACATTTAGTGTGCGGTCTATTAACAAACCGAAGAATATGACCAAGAAAGAACAATTTTTTTTAAACCAACACCTGGTACTAATACTACACTATGCTGGTGTGCTATCCAGACATTTGAAATATTTACTTGTAGCTGTTTATTTTAATTATAAAACCTAAGAAAACATTAAAAGTAGACTTTTCAGTTTCTTCACACGTCTGCACAAATGCATTTGTGACATCTCACAATATACCCCAACAGTATATTTTCTAGGAAAGCTAAACCATTCATGATTATGAAGCCGTCCTTGAGCTCCAGTCTGTGACTTTGCCTAGGCCAAGATGATGTCACCTGTTTGTTGCAGACAGTTGGAAGTATATCTTTCAGTTCTCTTAAGCCAGGGGTATACACGGTTCTTTTTTTTTTCTTGGATTAATCCCCTTGCTGCACCCTAAAGCACCCCTGTGACTCTGGACTTATCCCCTTGCTGCATCCTATTTCTTCCCTGAAACTATGGTTTAATCATCTTTGCTGCACCTTTTTGCTGCCTTGTTGTACACTATTGCTGCCCTGTGTCTGTTTGCGGCACCCTATTACTGCTCTGTTATTCTAGATTTACCCCCTTGCGGCACCCTATTTCTGGCCTGTGTCTCTGAAGTTATCCCCCTGCTATACCCTATTGCTGCCCTGTGACTCTGGATTTATCCCTTTGCGGCACCCTATTTCTGCCTTGTGATTCTAGATTTACCCCTTGCGGCATCCTATATCTGCCCTGTGTCTCTGGATTTATCCCCTTGCTGTACCCTATTGCTGCCCTGTGACTCTGGATTTATCCTTTTGCGGCACCCTATTACTGCCCTGTGATTCTAGATTTACCCCCTTGCGGCATCCTATTTCTGCCCTGTGTCTCTGGATTTATCCCCCTGCTACACCCTTTTTCTGCCCTGTTACTCTAGACTTAATTCCTTGCTGCGCCCTATTGCTACCCTGTGACTTTGGGTTTATCCCTTTGCTGCACCCTCTTGCTGCCTTATGACTGTGTTTATCCCCTTTCTGCACCCTATAACTGCCCTGTGGTTCTAGATTTATCCCCTTGCTGCACCCTATTCTGTCATCTCCGAGCCAGAAAGTAAATGGTGACCCTAAATGATTACCATAAAAAAATAGATTTAATACAAGATACAAAAAAACTGCATGTGCGCACTTACTCAGAGGAGCATTAATATGATCAATAGAAGCAAGAAGGTGAATGTTGGAGATAGAAGCCAGTTGTCCGAGGACCTGTTGACATTTGTCTCCTCTTAACATATGACTGTCCAAATTATGAATGAGAAGATAAAGCACCAGGGAACTATCTAAAAAGAAAAAAAAAGAGAGAAGAAGTAATTTGACAAATAGAATAATTAATCATATCCGGTTTGGTCTATTTTGCAAAAGGAGGGCATAACGGGACCACTCATTCAGCACAAAAGAGTTCACAGAGCATACACCATCTCTAAGGACACTTTTTTCTGCAGATGAACATATAGTGGATTATGTAATAATAGTGCATACAATGAGCTGTGGTAAGCCATAGCAACCAAACTATTTTCATATTTCAGAAGTTCACTTATACCTGTGAGGATTGCTTGATATAGGCTATTGCACAACCATGTTCTGTGTATGCTATTAAATTAAGCTAATGAAATCAAGCAATGACTGCAAGCACTGTCTGAGTGAATTAACGTTTAGTATCAGAAAGTAAATGTTAAAATGCATCGTTGACTGGTTTTAAATCCACAATGACCTTATTAATCTGTCTGAAAAGTGCAGCCTAAATCATATTTTAAGTAGTGTACAGTAACAGAATTGTCATACAAATCAACAGCTCATTAAGCACCAATCCACTGTGAACAGCTCTGATAAGACAAAATGAACAAACTCATTATGAAAATGCCACTGACTAGACAGGCAGCTGCTGTGCTTATGTAACACAGTAAAAGCTTCAAATACACATCATAGAAAATGAACTCAAGATTATTAGAAGAGAGCAGAATTATTCTTGCTCACTACAATGTGATCATGAAAACAAACAAAACCCCAAACAGCTGTTTCTGTAAAGGAAATGGGTGCGCTAGTAGCATCGATATTAAAGCTGAACTCCAGGCAAACAGCTGAATATACAGATATACACTATATTGAGCCTATGTTGATGGGCTTTGGGCTTGTATTGGTGGTCTTAGTTTGAGACACCTCTGAGATCATTCAGAATTCATTGACAGGTATATTTAACCTGTAGTTGATCTGCTACAAGTGGAGTTTGACTCATACAAAAGCCCATACCTGCTGAAGCATTTGTAATTATGTCCATTATGTCCAACCAGTTCTAAGACTTAAACAGCGCTGCCACACGCATAGCCAGGCAGATGACACCACTTTCTCTATATCAATTCCATACTGTAAAAGGGATACAGTGATGTCCACTCTACTCCCCCAGCCTACTGACTGGACAGTAAAGGAGCAGCCACATTCTGATGCGGTCATTTGTGTCTGCACTCTGCTAGATCCTTCTATTAGCATGTTCCCTGTCAGCACATTTGCATCCAGCACACTGTACTGGGTCCTAGTCCTGCCCCTCCCTCTCCCAGTCTAAATGCAGCTCTACATAAGATTGCAAGGGGCCAATACCAAGTCAAATTCAGCTTTAAAAGTAGTTGCATTTAAAACATAAAATAGTAGTTTACTAATGAACACAAACCTGAATGAATGTATCTCTTTTATATCTGCTAGGATTTCAGCTTTAAATTTGCTATTGCTGTGCTAACAGGGAATCTAGTACTAGAATTGTTCTGCAGGCAATAACAACCAGAATGGATTCCAACCTGTACAAAACTAAAAGTTAATACATGGACTGGTTCTTCAAACTGTACAGGAAATACAAGAATCCACTATAATAAACTGGTAGAGTATAAAGTTACTCTACAGCGTGGTCAAAGGCTCACCATACACGTTACAATCTTATCATACAATCCACTTTAGATTTGCCAAAACTATGCCATTTGAGGACCTACCAAATCTATCCAAACAATTTGTATCCAGTCAAGCAGACCCTTGCACTACATACTTGTTGGCAGATCTAAAGGAGATTTTACAAACAAATTGTAGTGTGTATGGTGAGCCTAAGGCGTATGTAAGTATAGGATGTTCTTGTCTTGTTTTTGGCTACAATAAAAAAAAGAAACCGGACAATCCTTTACCAAGTGAACCCCAGGGTCATCATCTATCCAACACAGATTAAAACACTGTAAGGGATATGCCTGATGATTTTGGACATACTGAAAGCAGTAGGTTACAGTAACAGGTCTCCCTTTCCATGGACACCTTGATGTTTGTTTAACTTTAAAGCAACCCTGAAAGAGTAAAAAAATTACAATTAAAAGGTGCGCTGCAAGAGAACACCTCTCAGGATGTCAGGGTCTCCTACCTCCTTTGCATGTCAGCACTATTTTATACTGAATAGACTGATGAAGGCTGCAGTGAAGGAGCCATAGGAGAACCAGGCTGCCAGAAAGGCAGTTATAAGATCCAATCTCTTCCTGCATATTTTTTTTTTTTTTTTTTTTCCCCCAAATGGGCAATTTAAGGGAAGCAAATGAGAACCGCGTATTGACAGGAATTTGGCCCAATGAAAAACATATAACTTCTAATGGCACTGTTGTGCAGGGTACCATATTGTGCAGGGTACTATATTGTGCAGGGTACCATCTTACCTTCCCTGAACTTCTGTATAATGAAGTCCATTTGATCCAAGGGGCTGCGAAAAGTCCCAGAATGACCTAAAGCCTCTTCTGTTATAGAGTTTAAAATCTATGTAGAAATAAAATGATTGAATATTAAGATCAATTTTGTACACCGATTATGGCTCATATATGAAGGCACATTGACCAATCACATTCTCGATTTTCTAAAATATAGAAGCGAAAAGCCCTTTTATTTGAGACAGTTGTGAGGCTCCTATTAGATTTCTGGGAAATAAAAGTGAAAGGAACATGCTGTTCAATGGGGTGTTTAAGTGGTAAATATACAATATAACTGTTAAATTGTGAGAAATGTTTGACCAGTTAAGGCGTTTACTACAATATAGCACTGTCATCACTCACATAACCTCCACCTCTAAAAATCTGGTATAGGCTTATGTGGACAAGACAGCCCCCTTCTCTTCTATGGGAAACACAAGCCATCTCTCACATACAGCTCTGGAAAGCAATGTTGCTCATCTAAGCAGATACAAACTGCACAGATGAGCTTTCTCCGTGATGTATGCTTCAGCTCATGAAATCCACTGTCCACCATAGTAGTGAATAAAGGTGAAAAGGTAAAAAAAAAAGTAAAACTGCCTGGCACCCCACAATGCATCATTCCCATTATCTTATTGGTAACTTAAAGGAGAACTATGGGGTTAGGGCTTTTCCCCATAGTTCTCCTAAGGGTAACGGGAAGATCAGTATACCACGAGCTACAGCTCGCGGTATACTGAGACGCAGCTGCTGAAACGGATCCCGACAATTATGTCTGGATCCGCCCAGCTGCATGAGTGACAGCTGGCTCTGCCTATCCAGAGGCAGAGCCAGCTGTACCCGCCCCCTCCCCCGTCCGTTCCGCCAGTCAGCGCTGGAGGATCGGAGCGGGGAGGGGGGAATCCAGTCCCTCCCCTGTCACGGCTCTTTGCCGTGAGCCGACCTGTGACAGTTTAATTGTTTCACTGCGGCCAGAACTATGAGGATGAGTGAAAAGCACTCACTTCATAGTTCTCCTTTAAAGAGGACCTTTACCCATATCTTTCAAATAACAACAAACATACCTTAAGAATGTTTAGTAATGACAATCTACAAACACATACTTCTAGATCAGGGGTGCCCACAATTTTTTGTGTTAAGAGCTACTTTTCAAATGACGAGCTACATGAGATCTACCAACAGAAAAAAATCCTCCCTCGCTCGCTCCCTCCTGGCTCTCTCTCCTAGCTGTCTTTCCTTGCTCATCCTCCTGGCTGTCTCTCCTGGCTGTCTTTCCTCGCTCTCTTGGCTGTCTATCCTTGCTCTCTCCCCTGGCTGTCTCTCCTCTCTCTCTTTCTCTCTCTCTCTCCTGGCTCACCTTGCTGTATAGTACAACAGGCTGTGTAAACTAATATTCTTTGATGTAATACATAGCACTTCAACCACCAGAATCCATCAGAAAAGTGTCAGGGAGCTTGGCTCAGCAGACTCAGGCTAATAGGGAATCATGTGTGCACAGCAAAATAAATATACCAAAATGGAATAAAGGGGCTGCCATTCACACCCTTCCTGATCTACCAGCATCAGCTTTGAGAGCTACTGGTAGATCACGATCTACCTAATGGGCACCCCTGTTCTAGATAATTGCTGGCTTTGTATTCTTTATATACCTTATTTCTTTTTTCTTCCCCAGTCTTCTGACAGTGGCTATGTTAACTAAGGGCAGATTACTAGCTCTCCGATTACTTCCTGGATTTCTGGCACATGTGACTAGATATGTGACTAGGACATGTGACCATGCACATCATCACATGCATTTCCATGAGATCTCATGAAATTACAGATGAGATTTCCCAGCAATGCTCTGCTGATAAGGCAATCCCAGTGTGCATTGGTTTGCCAAACTGAAGTCATTTGCACTTTCAAAGCAGGAAGTGAAATCTCTGCTAGTGTAAGCATTTCATAATCACAGCATTTTTCACCTGACATGTCTATGTTATTATTAATCATCATGCATAGAGGGATGCATTGGTAGAATTTGATTTTTGAGTGTAAAATTCCGCTTTAAAAGTTTTTTGGTTTTTTTGAAGGAAAGAAACATGACTGCTGCCATTTTTGACTGTTTAAGGGTGCAAGCTCCAAGTCCACTATATACAGCATTATTTGACTGCTTAGTGAGCCACTTACCAGATACAAGCAAGCAGACAGTAAAGGCAATTCCCAACCAGCACACTTGTTTTGGGTCAGTAACTTTAAATAGTAAAGTACTAACAATAGCAGTTGTAACCTCCATCTACAAAATCAAGTCATCAGTGGTAGGTTTTGAGAAGTTCTATTTAAAGAGTATTTGTTACTTTGCCTGAAGTGACAGGTTCTCTTAACAGGTCACCTGTTAAGTAGTCCTGATTTCATCCAACCAACCCTCCTCCTTCATCCAACCAAACATCCAATCAGAGAATGCTGTGTATTCATTAAAAGAAAATACAAGGCATTCTATGAATGGTAGCAGTGTCCAGGGAGTGAGTCCCTGTGCAGAAGAGAAGCTGCTGGAGCCACAGCCAGAAGATTATGACTATTACTGTCTGTTGCGCAAATTACTACAGTAATTTTCAGCATCCCCAGCGGCCCTCTGGATATCCGATTAGCATACTTGAATTGAGTCAAGCTGAACCAATGTAAGTTTGCAAAAAGCATTACTTCCTGGAGTTCTGCTTTAATGATTACAGGGCTGCATGAATGTGTACTTTCATATCTTGCCTTGACTTTAGCTTTAAATTGAAATATTGCTTAGAAGAAATCTTTTTAGACAACATGATACAGTACATCTAACCCTGAATGTCTAGAAATGAGGGTTTTACAGTTAGAGGCTGGTTCACTTCAACAAACTGTAATCATGGCACATAACATCTCCACAACATTCACACATAATATAATAAATGAAACTGTAACAAATACAAGAAGTGACTAATGAAGAGGCAGGACACTTACCGATTTTATTGTAATGCCTGGAAAAAATCCATTGATGACAATGTGAACAGAATCCTGTAGCATGGATGTTCTAAACTTCTCTAGGAGGTTCCTCTTGGAGCCCAGACCAAACAGAATGATGTTGAATCCAAGGCTGACAAGGAAACACAAAGAATTGGCTTAAGTAGAAGATGACTTTGTTATGGCCAGATGCAATTCATGCGGCACTAACACCCCTAGATGGCGCTAACGAGTATCATTCCTATACCTTAGGAAGGCATCTGCACAGCTATATTTTGGGTGGAACTTTTATAAGTTAACCCCTTGGATTACTGGGGCTCTCCCAGATCAATGTATAAAGGATTATGGCATGTGAGCAGGTCTACCCGCACCTGTGCCTGTTGAGTATGCACCATGCGCTAAAAATGTGCAAATAGAAGTACATGGGTATACAGGCCCTATATACCTCCTGTAAACCAGGCTGTTATAAGACATTGACTTTCATTTGACAGTGATCAACTGGCCAAGCTGTATTGGGAAAAAACCCACTTTGTCATAAAAATCCGTGTCACTTTGCCCTTTTTCCTACATTCAGGGGGCAGACAGAAATAAATAAGCAAATTATGCAGAAGCAGTTCATAACTCAACGATTAAAAAAAAATAAAAATAAATACACACTCCACAGGTCACAAAAGGTACAAAGTACCCCTGGTGATAACTGGGCTAAGGCTACATTCACACTATGCATGAATGTGCGATTTGGGATTCCAGTGGCAGGAATTCCAAATCTCCCATTTAGATGCGGCAGATGTCACCTCTTCAAGTTAATGAATGGGTGACATTAAAATTGGAAATTTGGGATTCCTGACGGAGGAATCCCAAATTCCACATTCACGCATAGCGTGAGCCTAAGTAAACAATTATACAATATTTATATACAAAACAGTACCATCAAAAACTGTCCATCTCAAATATTTGTAAAGGTTTTTTTTTTGTAACAGAAACACTAAAAAGGAGGGTCCATGGAAGCATACAGTGGGTAGGGCGGTTCCTATCACACTACGCAAAAAAATCCTATTCCCCATAAAAGCAGATCTACATTCCCTAAAACCAAGAAACACCACATGTAGCTTGGCATACACAGACACAACCATGAGTATTAGCCCCTGAGCACTTACTGCAGCTGTAACATCCACTTGTAGAATAAGACTTCATATTTTTTGTTCAAATAGTGAAGATCATCAGCAAAGGTAGTCGAAGTCTGCTCCAAAAGTTTCCGTAGTGTTTCCTGCAGAAGTTGAGATTTGGAAAATGTTGACATTTAAAGTGCACCTGTATAGAGAGAAATATGAAGACTTGCATGGCTGCCCCCCTTCTAAAAACAGAGAAAAAACTACTAGATGTCTGGTTAAAAATATTCCAGATATTTTATTCTAAATATTCCTCGAATAAGCAGAAAGCACAAAGCCTTATAGAACAGGGGTGTAGAATTAAAAAAAACTTGGGGCAAGGTCCCATCACCAACATTGGGTCCAACACACCCTCATGTCTGATAAAAATGCCCATATTGGTCACTGAGGTGCTTTTAGTGGATAGTTGGAGAGTGAAAAGCCATAGCTTAGCAATTAATTTAGAAGGTGAGCCCTCATGCAGTATCAGAGCAGTGCACAGAACTGGGTTTACTGGGTATTAAAGGTTCAAGCAGTCACCTTGTGGCAAAACCTGTATTAAATGTTTAAAAATGTGACATGTTCAATTTTAAGGTGTTTGCCTGCATTACAATCTAGTTCAAGGCAGCAACCTTATTCACGTGAAATGTCTTTTCTCCATTTGTATAAGACAACCCTCGTGCTAGGGACCAATAGCACACTGTACAAAATTTGTTTTACATTTTTCCAATTTTAGGTATACTGCAAAAGGCAAGATAAACTCAATGATTATTAGTACATTAACTGCACACACAAATATGTTTTTATTCAGATCTTATGTCATCACCATTACATGCACCTTCAGACCTCAGACCAGTTCCAATGCATGAACTTCAGATTTCAGATTAGCCCCAATGCATGCACCTTCCGATCAGCCTCCATCAGACTTATGATCAGTCCCAACACCACTGTATTATTCTAGCTCAGGATAAATACATGTAAGACACCACCACCTGCCCGTCTCTTCTTGATTACTAATCTGCTCCCCCTGCACCCAACACACTTCTCTCTCCGTCTCCTGCACTTCCATGACCGCCCAACTGCTGCCTGGTTGCCAGACCCATGCCCACCAGCATGCTTGGACAAATTTCAGGAGACCCAGTGCTTTGCCAGAGCCACTACTGGAGGACTGACAGGAGAATGTGTCCGTGCATGAGAAGCAGCAGGTGACACTGAAAAAGGCATTGCGTGCCCGCTTGGGCACATGTGTCAGAGGCTGCCGACCCCTGATCTAGTTCAATTGAAGAAGCTAAGTAACCGTAGTTTGGGAGATAACTGCAACCATGGCATGGGTGTGACACTTCCCTCTTACCACAGTAAGATTTATAGTTTCTGCACACAAGGAAAACACGGTGTCATTATTAGATCAATAATGACATGTACCTGGCATGTAACTTATATGGGTCATGTTTTATCTCAAGCCAACCTGTTTTGTATGTTCTCATTAGTAGAATACCTTTCCTTTATACCTGGTCTAGCTTTGGAGTCTGGAGCTTTTGCAATGTTCTGTCGGAAGTGAGGACCTTAGAACTGCTGTGAGCTTCAAAGTACTCTTCCACCAAATTGTTCTGTTAATGACAAAAATGCAAGATCTATTTACAGGTCACAAAGGTTAAGATGCAGCAATAATTGTCACTTGTCACTAAAATCTTCCAAGGAAGATAAAAAAAGGGAAATTTTTAATGTGGGTTCACGGCTCTAAAAACAGCTTACTTTTTTCTTTCCTTTTTTTGATGGTGTTTTCCCAGGAGTCTGAGACCCTTTGTTTGGCGTTTGTGATCCTTTACTTGGTGTTTTGGCAGTGGCTGGCTTTTCTTCCATCTCTTCATCAGAATTAGAGGCTGAATAATCACTCTCACTCTCCGACCTTAAAGTTGGCGCTGCAAGAAGAAGAAAAAAATGCTAAAAGGATGACTATGCTGCATTCTAACCCAAACAAATATGCCAGATTGCGTGATGTTGGGGATATTAGTTCAGGGGTGACACTGCTGGAGCAGGACGCCTCCTCTATCTGGGGGGGGGGGAGTGACTGCTCCAGCGAGGAGGGAAGTCGGATGTAGGATCAGGAGAGGCAGATCCTGGTGGTTCCATCATCAGGCGAACCGACAGGGTAATCTGTCATCGGGACCGTGAGCGTCGAACAGTGTGCTGCTTACCGGGGGCGCGTGTTCGGCACATTGCGGAACGTATTGACAGGTTACTAGCTGGGGTTGGGCACAACCCAGTTGTCATGGTGCACATCGGCACCAATGACAAAATAGGAGGTAAATGGAGTGTCCTAAAAAAGGAGTTCAGAGACTTAGGTGCTAGGCTGAAGGAAAGAACCTCCACGGTTGTATTCTTGGAGATACTGCCGGTGCCACGAGCCACTCCGAAGAGACAGCGCGAGTTGAGGGAACTTAACAAGTGGCTCCGGAACTGGTGTCGGAATGAGGGCTTTGGTTTCCTGGAGAACTGGGCTGACTTCTCAGTCGGCTATCGGCTTTTCAGCCGAGACGGGGTGCATCTTAATGGGGAAGGTGCAGCATTTCTGGGGGAAAAATGGTTAGAAGACTGGAGGAGCTTTTAAACTAGATAATGGGGGGGAGGGTAAAACAAAAACCAAAAAAATAAATATTAAACAACCAATCGTGACAGATAACAAAGAAAAAAAATATATAGGAATAAATAGTGGGCTCACTCCAGTCAACATAGTCAAAGTTGTAAATCAAGCCAACTTAGAAAACATACTCAATGTAGTCAATAAAGCAAATCTAATTGCCCAAGGGGATCCAAGTAGGATTGGACTAACCGTAACAGGTCCAATAAAAATAGTAGTGGGGAGCAAGAGGGGAGCAAACGTTTAACCAGTAAAAGTACAAATATTAAATGTATGTTCACCAATGCCAGAAGTCTAGCAAATAAAATAGAAGACCTTGAAGTTATGTTACTCGAGGAGGACTACGATATAGTGGGAATAGCAGAACAGAAACGTGGTTAGATAGCACAGGATTGGGCTACTAACACAGAAGGGTACAACCTGTTCAGGAGGGACAGGCTGGCAAGGGGGGGGGAGGGGGGTATGTATATATGTTAAAAATAACCTCATTATGCACATTCGTGACGACATCTCGTCAGAACTAGATAGAACGGACTTTGGCCGTAAACTTATTGTGGGTGTCTGTTGATCACAAGGTGGTTGCTTTTAATATTGGGTGCAAGAAAGGGAAGGGAGATGGTCGGACGAGAAGCCTAAACTTCAGGAAGGCTAACTTTGTAAAACTACGCAATATAGTGGGTGAAATTGAATGGGAAAACTTATTTGATAAACTAAACTTTGACCAAAAGTGGGACTGTTTCAAGAACAAATAAAAAAATGCTATTACCAGGTGTATACCGCTGGGTAATAAAAGTAAAAGATCAAAAACAAGTCAGTAAAAAGAACCCCAATAAATTTATCAGTACATAAACAGTTTACAGATCACTGGTTCGGCCATATCTGGAGTATGCGGTCCAGCTTTGGTCATCGATACTCAGAAAGGATGTCCTGGAGCTGGAAAAAGTCCAGAAGAGGGCAACCAAACTTATTAAGGGGTTCGAGGATCTGAACTATGAAACAAGGTTGTTAAAATTAAATATGTTCTCTTTGGAGGTTAGGAGACTAAGGGGGGACATGATTTTCCTGTATAAACTATTCAAGGGCGACAGCAACATTATTAACAAACTGTTTAAGGTTAGCTCCGTAACAAAGACCAGAGGACACAACCAAAAATTGGTGGAAAAAAAATGTCAACACACAGGGCACAAGGGGTTCTTCACAGTTAGAGCGGTTAAGGTCTGGAACTCGCTGCCACAGGAAGTCATCTCAGCTAAGAGTGTGGAATCATTCAAGAAACTCTTGGACAAGACCATAACATACAGGGGTACAGGTACTCCTAAGAGCAAAATCATACATGGACTAATACACACTCACACACCAACTCAAACAAAAATGCATACACGCAATAGGTTGGACTTGATGAACTTATGTCTTTATTAAACCTCAAATACTATGCAACTATGTAACTATGTAGTCTGAGAGTAGAACTACTGTACAGCAGTCATGTCCTGTTATATAATGCGGATGCCAGGATGAAATCTATGCTCAGGTTACCTGGCATTTTAAATTACAAAGGCACACAATGTAAGTAATTACTTTTCCCATCTTCCGACTCCTCTGTACAAATGGCTGCCCACAAATGGAGAAGGATCCCTAAAGCAGAACACCTCTGCTGTGCTCTCTCTTTATAAAACTTAGAATGCTCAATTACTCCATTAAGCCAGTATTCTGTAATAAATGTATTTGAATAGATTAAAGCCACATTCTGGGCAAAATGAAAATCTACACACGGGGTGTGTAAATTATCATTAAAAAGTTAAGTGATATGTGCAGAGGGCGACTGCAAAAATCCTATCTTGCAGCACGCCGTGCCCCCACAGAAAACGGCCAGCTTCTGGGCACTGAAGAGGGAGAGATACGACTACGGCTGTACATTGCCTCAGTCACATCACCTGCCCTTCTGTGATTGGAGGAAGAGAGATGATGTTGCACCCCTGCCCTTTCCAGTCACAGAATGTCTTGTATTCTTTCAAAAAAATTCAAGACATTTTGTGAATGGACAATAAGGAGGAAGGGTGGGTGAAGCAACCAGAGCACTGTTCAGCTCAAGTCGCAACTCTTCCGCTCTTCATTGCCCCGAAAGTTGGGCTTTGTGTGCAGGGGATGGTGTGCTGTAAGGTAAAGTTTTAAAATTTGCAGCCACCCCCGAACATAAACACCCAACAAATTATCATTTTGCCCAGGGGGTGGATTTAAGTTTACTTGCTTGCAAAACAAAATAAAAATGAAACATCAGTTGAAAAACCCTTTTTAGAAAATGAAAATAATATTGATCCAAAACCATTATAAGCTCACTTGGATGTACTGCACTGCAAGGATTAACTGCTCATTTTCTTCTAGGTGCTAAAAAAAAAAAAGTTATACCCCAACTGCCGAGCCGACTCCCTGTTTCAATTGTCTAGAACGTGATGGCACAAGGATTTTCAAAACGTTGCAGAGGAGGGGGACAGAGGCTCTATGAACCGGTCTCAAAACAAGACGGCTCGAATGATCGGGGGGAGTATAACTTTTACTTTTTAACACCTAGACACAAATGAGCAGTTAACTCTTGCAGTGCGAGGGTAGCCCCACTGTAAGGGTTAATAACATTTCTCCCCGGAGTTCTGCTTTAATTTGCAGCTTTTATCGGCTCTTTGATCACACAGTCCCATTCCAAGAACCTGCGTGTTCCTTTCCTGTAAAACCAGAAGAGGTGTGCTGCTACCTGCCCTCCATTAGTAGTACTAGACATTAGCAAAGGTTGGCAATATACATCTTCCAGCATAGTCCTAATACTGCAACATACAGGAAAAACACCCTTCCCTACAAGCAAACAGAGGGAACTACAGTATGCAATGGGATGGGGAGCAGGTATACAAACATGCGACTGTCAGATA